AAGGCTATTTTGGCTATGCTCATCGCTGGTCTGGTTACTGGTCTAGGCGTTACATGTAAACAATTTTAAGGCTAATTTGGCTATGCTCATCGCTGGTCTGGTTACTGGTATAGGGCTATAAAATTAGACCACAGGCCGTTAAAATTAGACCACAGATTGCCTCGATTTCGCCGGGTGGGCTAAAAGCAGACTACACGTAGCCCGTCCAATTTAGAGCTAAATCGTGGCTACATACAGACCATGTCTTGAAATGACACTTATATATTTGTAGATATTATTGACACCGCAAACATGATGGGATATCAACCATCTCATGCGCTGCCTGGCCAAAAACTACAGTGAATCAGGTTTGACTATAAGTGGGCTACAGATAGCCGCTCTGACTACGAGCTAAATCGTGGCTACGCACAGGCTACGTATTGAACATGTCAAAGAAATGAAACCAAACACCTTGTAAACGCTGTTACTTTGCTTACATGATGGAATATCATACATCGCACAAGATATTTTGCCAAAAAACGACATGAAACCAAATTCAAGGTTATTTGGGCTAGAAGTGGGTTACACATAGCCGGACTATATCAGGTCTATACTTAACCGAGACGTTGAAATGACGGCTATTGCTTGCTGGGCAGTAAGGCGTCAAAGGTTCCAAATTCATTTGTCCTGTTGTCGAAAGTAGGTTTGGAGTAAGTCAAATTTTTACTGTCTATGACTGACAGTAATGGGTTCTATATGCTTTTGAAGAGGCACTTACAACTTTACTTTAAAAAAAAAAAAAAAAGTTTGTACTACTTGTGTATTTCTGTTGCTCTAGTAACATAATGCTACTCCACAGAAATAAAGCTCAATTGAATATAATTTAGACAAATTGTTTTACTTTGACTAAAGGTATGATTTTACATATTTGTAACGGTTAAATATTGAATTTTATTTTGCTTTATGCATTTTTTTTATCCGTGGTCCTTTTTTTTTTTTTTACTTTGATCTGTTTTTTAACTGTAGTCATTTTTTAACTGTAGTATTCGCCGACTTTTGAGGTTTGAATTGAGGATTGTCAGTTGCTTCAAGAAGCCTATGTTGGGCCTGATGCGTATCACCTCTATGACGTGGTCAATGGCATCCTCCACCATCATGTCATGGTGAATCATCAGGTATGCCAGAAAAAGTGTGGCAGAGCGACTGATACCCTTTTTGCAGTGCACCAACACCTTATCTGTGGAAATAGAAATAGAAAGACACTCAAAACAAAGTCATTATAAGACAGCTTATCACTGTAGGACACTTAATAAATTACAAGTAAATAAATGATGTGTGTATGTGTGTGTGTGTGTGAGTGTGTGTATGTGTGTGTGTGTGTGTGTGTGTGTGTGTGTGCATCAGCTCTTACTCTCTGGGTTACTCAGGGCCTGGTGAATGAACTGTGCAGCTGGGAAGAAGTACTCGCCGATGTTAAACGAGCATTTGTTTTCTGCAGGCACATCATAGTAATTGAGGCTCCTGCCTTGGTAATATACCACTCCTGTATTGACCTTTCCTTTTAGGCTGTTCTTGCTTGGAATTTCAAATGAGATCTTCAAGCTCTTCTCCACTGCCGCAGCATTCAGGATGTGGGTAATACCCATCCCTTTCAGTTTGGCTCGGTTTCTTGCTGTCTCTCTGCACAAGAACACAACAGCCTAGATTAGTCTTTCACTAAAGGGGATTCACAATGTAAAAACAACTCTTAAAAGTGCAGACTCAGTGCTGTGACCTGCCCTAAAACCGGACTGAAATTTGTCTAAGATCTCATACCTACTTAAAAATGACATTAACTGGGAATAAACCACCTTCTCTAAAATCTTTGATAGGCATGGTAATTTTGAGATGGGCCGATAATTCTTCAGTTCTAAAGGGTCTAAATTTGGTTTTTTAAGAAGTGGCTGAATAACTGCCTGCTTAAGGCCCGTTGGAACAACTCCATTATGAAGACTACTATTAACAATAGAAGTAATACTCGGCCCAACAACATCAACCATCTCCTTTAGAAGACGTAAAGGAACCTCATCGCAACCACCAGATGTAGGCTTCAAACGCATAATGATGTCCATAACTTGCGCCAGAGACAGCCTAGATTAGTCTTTCATTAAAAATGTTTTACGGAAGAATTAAAAAACACCACTCGACAATGAGAGAAATATAACTGCATAGTGTTTGATTCCTGTTCTTATGGTAGAAGTGTGTTGTAGACTTACTCATTTCCAATGAAGACACTGGGCCAGACCTCAGTGACAGGTGTCCATTGCACTCTACATTTGCACATGCGACGCTCCAGTTGGAAAATGTTTCGAGGGAAATGGTTGTGTAACATTGTTGTCACTTGAGTTTCTGTTTTCACATGAGGTTCAGGACCACTTGGACCTGCGACACACAACTGTTGTGCATCAACCAGATCCACTTCAGGTTCTGCTTCAGGATCTGGAACACATGATGGCTCTGGATCAGGCTGTGCTGGGATCCCAATCCGCTCCACTTGTTTTTCTGGAAGGATTTTTTCACAGCCTTCCATCTTCTTTGGAAGAATCCACAGATTTTGTTGCTCTTCCTCACTTATTTTCAGATAAAAGAAAAAAAAGCAAATAACAAGCTATTAGAAACAAACCACAGATTAAACATGAATAATTAGTCTAGCTTGTAAGATTGTGCTAATGTTGTGCTGTTTGACATTGGTTACTTTATTTAACAGAGGCAACATGCAGTTGTTGCTCTGTGGTACACATTAGATTTGGTGTATTAATGGATGATTTAAATATTTATGGATGATTTAAATATTTAAATATCAATTAAACACAAGAATATGCATATAAGAAATATAACTACACATATTCCATATTGTACCACATTTGTGTTTGCATCTCACTGTAATGTATTTCAAATGGTCTGTTGACATTCACCTTTTGATCTGGTCTTCTCATTGGTTGCGGGAGAAATATTCATGCCATTCCCATTCTCTGAGATGGTGCTGCTGAGGTCAGCCTTCAGCTGCACATCTCTCTTTTGTGTGGACTCTGTTGTCACTTGAGTTTTTTGAGTTTCTGTTGTCACTTGAGGTTTAGGACCACTTGGGCCTGCAACACACAATTGCTCTTCATCAACCAGATCCACTTGAAGTTCTGCTTGAGGACCTGGGACACACGATGGCTCTGGATCAGGCTGTGCTGAGATCCCAATAGGCTCCACTCTGTTTTTCTGAAAGGGTTTTTTCACAGCCTTCCATGTTCTTCGGAAGAATGCAGAGGTTTTGTTGCTCTTCCTCACTATTTTCCGATAAAAGAACAAAAACAAATAATAAACTATTAGAAACACCTCTAACCACAGATTAAACATTAATAATTAGTCTAACATATTATATATTGTGTGTTAATGAATCATTTAAATATATATATATATACATTTTACCACATTTCAAATGGCATTCACCTGTTGGGTTTGCCATCTCATTGGTTGCAGGAGGAATATTCATGCCACCCTGATCATTTCCATTCTCTGAGATTGTGCTGCTGTCAGCCTTCAGCTGCATGTCTCTCTTTTGTGTGGACATGATATCTAATGTACTCTATTTAGTTCTGTCAGATATTGTTGTCAAACTGTTTGTGATACACACTGTGAATGAGACTACAGACAGTGTGTATAAACTGTATGTTTTTCTAAACACTGAAAATAAACCATCTAAAGCTGGCGTCTGTAGAATTTCGCTCAGACTCGCGCTTTGCTCGGTGACTCTTCACCTCGGCTCGGATTATCACTGAACTTCAGACGCTGCGAGTGCGCGGCTCCTTATAAGCAGCCTGTTCGATGACGTAATCAAATGGCTAGTCTCGTTGTAGTTCCACAGTTGCCATAGAAACGGAATGTTTACTACAAGCGGCCGGACATTATCACCAGTGGTTGATTTCAAACACATTACTGCTTTACTTGGTTTACACATATTTCTAAGAAAATACATTTTACGCTGAATAACGTTATATTTAAAACGTTAATTATGTTTATAGCCTACATGCGTTTGTTTACGTTCAGGCTTCTCCCGCTGTTGTATACTTTTATGTGAGCCAAACAAAGCATTTACTTACACAATGATTTTGGAGGGGTTACGGTGGTTTGAGGCAAAAATACCACCAAATTGGACAAAAATGCCCTTGCACAATTAAACTAAATGTATTACGGCTGTCGCGAATAAAGTGATTGAAAATAAAATGAAAAGTCTAGATCTGCTCATTAAATGTATATCTGCTCATGCGGCATCGGATTTATTTTTACGCGGTTTTTTTCAGCGTTCAGCATTATAACCAATCACACACGATTCTGTTGAGTTTATGAATGCAATGTTCAATCAGAGGCGTTCAGATTATTCATCGCTGTTTCCACTCCTCCGACAAACGTGCTTTAAAATAAGATATAACAGTACAACAAATACCATCAAGATTAAGAAAACGCCATACGATAAAAGTGAGTCTTAAAAAGAGATTTAAAAGAGGATACCGTGCTTGCCTGCCTAATCCCCAGGCTGTTCCACAGTTTATAGGGGCAAAACAGCAAAAGCCCGGTAACTTTTAGTGACAAGTGAGATTTTGGAACCATTATAGGGCCCTATACGATCTCAAACAGCGATCAGGCTCATAAGGACTTAACAAATCACAAATATAGGCAGGAGCCTGACCCTTCAATGCTTTAAAAACAAGCAGTAAAATCTTAAAATCAATTCTAAAACTCACAGGCAACCAATGAAGAGCAGCAAGAATCGGTGTAATGCGGTCACTTTTCTTAGTACGTGCTAAAAGCCTAGCAGGCGTTTTGAATCAGTCTTTGGAGGTTTCTCCTGCTAATACCAGAATAAAGTGCATATTCAAACTATATTTATTAAGATGTGAATAACTCCACTCTGTTTTTCTGAAAGGGTTTTTTCACAGCCTTCCATGTTCTTCGGAAGAATGCAGAGGTTTTGTTGCTCTTCCTCACTATTTTCCGATAAAAGAAGAAAAACAAATAATAAGCTATTAGAAACACCTCTAACCACAGATTAAACATGAATAATTAGTCTAACATATTAGATATTGTGTGTTAATGAATCATATATATATATATATATATATAAAACTACACATATTCCAAATTTGACCAAATTTCAAATGGTCTGTTGGCATTCACCTGTTGGGCTTGTCTTCTCATTGGTTGCAGGAGGAATATTCATGCCACCCTGATCATTCCCATTCTCTGAGATGGTGCTGCTGTCAGCCTTCAGCTGCATGTCTCTCTTTTGTGTGGACATGATATCTAATGTACTCTATTTAGTTCTGTCAGATATTGTTGTCAAACTGTTTGTGATACACACTGTGAGTGAGACTACAGACAGTGTGTATAAACTGTATGTTTTTCTAAACACTGAAAATAAACCATCTAAAGCTGGCGTCTGTAGAATTTCGCTCAGACTCGCGCTTTGCTCGGTGACTCTTCACCTCGGCTCGGATTATCACTGAACTTCAGACGCTGCGAGTGCGCGGCTCCTTATAAGCAGCCTGTTCGATGACGTAATCAAATGGCTAGTCTCGTTGTAGTTCCACAGTTGCCATAGAAACGGAATGTTTACTACAAGCGGCCGGACATTATCACCAGTGGTTGATTTCAAACACATTACTGCTTTACTTGGTTTACGCATATTTCTAAGAAAATACATTTTACGCTGAATAACGTTATATTTAAAACGTTAATTATGTTTATAGCCTATTTGTTTACGTTCTGGCTTCTCCTGCTGTTGTAGACTTTTATGTGAGCCAAACAAAGCATTTACTTACACAATGATTTTGGAGGGGAGACCGTGGTTTGAGGCAAAAATACAACCAAATTGGACAAAAATGCCCTTGCACAATTAAACTAAATGTATTAACGATACGGCTGTCGCGAATAAAGTGATTGAAAATAAAATGAAAAGTCTAGATCTGCTCATTAAATGTATATCTGCTCATGCGGCATCGGATTTATTTTTACGCGGTTTTTTTCAGCGTTCAGCATTATAACCAATCACACACGATTCTGTTGAGCTTATGAATACAATGGCCAATCAGAGGCGTTCAGATTAGTCATCGCTGTTTCCACTCCTCCGACAAACGTGCTTTACAATAAGATATAACAGTACAACAAATACCATCAAGATTAAGAAAACGCCATACGATAAAAGTGAGTCTTAAGAAGAGATTTAAAAGAGGATACCGTGCTTGCCTGCCTAATCCCCAGGCAGGGAGTTCCACAGTCATTCTTGAGAAGTGGGACAAAACGGGGTGCAAAATTGAAAAAAATAAAACCTTGTACTCAGACAAATGAAACTACATTTATGTATCTTATAT